TCTAGTCCTTAGTTTTAATGTAACCAGTGGATCTGCTAGGGTAGATTCCCCAGGTCCCTTGTCAGCCTAGTTCCAATTCAGCCACCGGAGCCACCCCTTGGCCCTCTCTCCCCGCAGGGCAGTCTCACTTCCAACGTTCAAAACTCCCCACAGCACACACACACCGATCCGGTCCCATAGGAGAAGAACCCACTTCCCCCACCTTTGCCCGACATTCCTCCTCCATCAGTTTCAAAGCACTTCTGTCCACATTTATTCAACAACCCCTCAGTCCCGTCTGTCAACATGTCCCACTTGTTTGCCTGCCCCAGCACCCATCCCGTGCTCAAACACAGGCTGCGCGAGCTCCCCTCCTTTTCCACTTGGTTTCCCCCCCCCCCCCCTTTTTTCCTCAGTTGCTCCCCCTGCTCTGCAGAGGTTTCAGATGCCTGCCGCTTGCAACAGCACTTCTGGTTTAATGTGAATGTGCTGCTTGTTGCAGGTGACAGCAATCTCCTCCTCATCAATATCTGATAAGACAGAGATAGAGGATGCTCCTCTCAGAGGTATCTGTGATACATAATTTTCCTATTTATAACTCTTAAACATCATTCCCCAATATCACAGGCCAAACAACATCTCTCCAGCTTAGCTTTCAGTTTTTCCTTGTCCTTTTCCAAAGCCAAAATTAGGGATCTGGCAGAGCTATATTAATTTCACATTCTGCCTGCCACTCTGGGTGGTTTCTTAAAGTGAAAAACGTATCTGTATATCGTACTTAATCCCATTTTCCTGGCCACCTCAAAACCAACATTCATTGTAACAATGTATTATAATTCAGAGTTCCATTTTTAGGCCATTTCTCCTGATATTCCAAAGTATATAAAGGCCACCATTGGTTACAATATTTTATCAATGTTTTCTTGTTTACCGAGCCCCAGAAGACCCTCCCAGTTCTTTCCAATGTGCCAAAATGTAACCCAATGGGCTTTTCTTGAGAATCCCCTTGTTTTAACCGGCTCCCATTTCAAACAATCTTTTACAAATCTCTATAGCTTCTCTTTCCCAGTGCTCTGCAAATGCATTTAAAAAATATGAGATCACCTACACACGAGTGTTATGATATTCTCAGGGGGTTCAGTAAAATAGTATCTCTGGGTTCTGCAGATCAACTCCCCTGTTGTTGGATCATGATTTCGGTTCCATCAAAATTTACACCGTCCTAGTATCCACGGCAGGTTCCACTGTTCGAAAGTTACTATGCACTCATATGTGAGGCTACAAGCCTCTGGTACTGAGTGTAAAGTTCAGGTCTCAAGAGTAGGACTACAGACATATTTCTGTTACACAGCCACTGGGGCGCAGAGGGAACTCTTAACACTCCTCCCCCCCCCCCCCCAATAGCAACAGTTTACTTTTGTCTACTCCTCCCCCACCGCTTAAGCACTGTAATCTTTAACACTAACGACAGACATATACGCACACAAAGCACTTAGACACAACACAAAACAAAGACGCTTCCTCCGTCTCCGGCCGCTCGGAGAACACGGAACTCAGGATCAGGACTCCACACTCGCTTCGTTGCTACGTCTCAGTCACACAGAAACACAAACACACACGGGATCCCACACACCCACACTATAGTTCCGCTTACTCTTCTCCTGCTTCTTCTTAAGGTATCAGGTCTGTCCTGCTTCCCAAACCTTGGGATGGAGCGAAAACCCAGACTCAACCGATACACCCTCAGAGTCGCTAGCGGCCGCTCTATCGGCCGGCGAGCTCCCTACTTGCAAGCCCTACCTGCCAAGGGGAACTTCGCTGTGCGCCAGACGTCTCTGTGCGCCTTACCAGCAGCCCCGGGCCACGCGTACGCCTTACAGGCCCCCTAAATTACCTACATTTCAAGCATAGCGTTTCTCCGCAGCCGGCACAGGTTGTTGTCTGTCCCTGCAGTGAGCAGACGAGAAGCGGAGCTCCTCCAGGCAAGCGGCCTGGGGCGCCTAGGATGTCCACCCCTCAGCCGATCCTGCAGCCGAACAGAGGTCTACTGCCTGGCTCGCCAAATTGATGCGCGGATTGACTCCACAACTCGTTAAAGTTGTAAAGTAGGTATGCTTTTTATTCAGCGCTGAGACGCATGGGGATAATTCCTCAAAGTCATACGGTGCCCCAGTGTTGTTTTCCCTCTACATTTATAAGGTTGCACCATACGCCTATACATATTCATGTCCTATCCCCGCTTCGTATTACAGTGAGCTAGAAGGTCCTTTCCACCTGCGTAGTGCTCCCTCTGGTCATGGGCAGGGGTCTCAAGATGAAGTAAATGAGCCTTCCTCCTGTGGGTAGGGGTCTTCAAGGTGAAGTAAATGAGTCTACCTCTTCTTGAACTTTTCACCTTTTATTCTTCACGTATGGCCTTAGGGTTTGGTCCCAGCCATCAACCATCTGCTTCTCCCCCATAACAGTAGATTCAGGGGTCTGCTTTTCCGTATCAATAGGTGCTTATCAGTAGAATCAGGTGTCTGCTTTTCCTTGTCAACAGAACTAAGTGTCTGCTTTTCCTTGTCAATAGAACCAGGTGTCTGCTTTTCCTTACCAATAGCTAGTGCTTTTGTTCTGCTTAGTAGGCATGATAGGTACAGACAATACCTTTGCTTAAGCAATCGAATTCCTCCAACTCCTCTGTACAACCCCCCTGTACATTGGTCAACCCTCTGCATCAGCACCACCTTTTTAAAGAGTCCAGGGAGGTTGTGGAGAGGGACTGTGTTCCAGAAAGCTTGTTTTGCAGCTCTGCTCACCTACTAAAAGGTTCTTTTTCCTACACCGTTGGTGTCCGGCAAAGTCAGATGTGGCTCACTGCGGTTTGTGGTGTTGCTGTAGTTTCCAAGACTGCACTGAACACTGCACGGAAACTGAGTGATTGTGTCCCGGCCTGGGCCTGAAGCCGCGCTCCGGTTCGGGCGGCGGCGGAGCAGCCTGGAAGCGGCCGCCGTGCCCGAGAGGAGCCGCTCGCCCGTGCCTGAGGGGCCGCGCGCCGCGGCGGGGCGGGAAAGAAGCGCGGGCGGGCAGTCTCCTCAGGGGGGCGGCGGGAACGGCCCGGGGCGCCTTTTTGTGCGAGCAGGGTTACTGCTGTTGCCGGACGGACAGGTAGCGGTGCCCTGTTTCACATCCTCGTGATACTCCCCGCGCTTCCCGAAAGCTGGCGGAAGAATGTTGATTCATCTGTAGACAGTTAGCTCTTTAAAAAAATTTTTTTTTTCCTTTTTGTATTTGAGGTGATCTGGAGTACTTACTAAGACTTCAACGTGGAGCTCTGGTAGTTCAGAATCGTGTGTACGGGGATGGGGGTGGAATCATTGCTAAAATAGCAGTGGAGGACTTCAGAGGTTTGTCGTGCTGAGGCGTGTTTCACCAAAGGTAGCAGTGCAGCCTCAGCTGCTGGCGTACTTTTGGGTTTCAGCAGGACACCAGCTGCCCGGACTTCTCCCACTGCATGGACTTTGACCATAGGATTTTAAAAGGAAAACTCCCCCTGAGACTGGCTGTTCTTAGCCTGGCATGGCTGTGCAGGGGCTTGAATTTATCTGGGCTGCTTTAAGAGTGGGTTTTTTTGAGTTCCGAAGGGATGGCACAGATTATTTTCCATAAGTGATAGGGAAGAGGTAATCTATTTTCTTTTACACACAGCATTTGCCAGAAGTCTGCTGCAGCAAACTGTGTTACCTATCATCTTTGGCCTGTGATGCAACAGCAGAGTTTAGCTATTTGTATTTTAATGCAGACTGGCTTATATTTCATGTACCTTCTGCATGTTGCAAAAGATCCAGCTGAGGTCAAGACATCTTTCTATAGTGTTTAAAAAACCTCTTGTTTTTCTTGTAGTAAAAGCTTTTTAATTGTATGCATGTGTATTTAATTAAACTTTACAGAAATTAAATTAGCTCCAAAGTGAGCTTGTTTTTGCAGCCTTTCTTTTGTTGAGGAGTATTTGGGTAGTTTTTGTTTTAGGCCAGCAAGGTGGTAGCAGTAGGGGCAAAAGAGGTGAGGAAGACTTGCTAGCATTCCACTGTTGTGGCAGGGTTAGATTTGCAAGAAAATGAAATTATGTGTATTAGCACTTCTGAAAGGGCAAAGAAAGATGAACTCTTTAAACATTCCCTCTCAAAACACTTCACCAATGCCATTGTAAGGATGAATGCAGAGTATTTGAACTAATGGAAGCAGGGAAAGAATGGGAACAATCTGACTAAAGCAGACCTGTCTGTCTTCATTAAGATGGCACTGATATTTTCTTAAGGCCTTTGGTCTACTTGGAGAAGGATAACCAATCTGTTACTAAGCTGGATTTGTCACTCATACAAAGTGTCTACCTGGAGCTAGATAATTTTTGAGAGATTGAAATAGATTACTGTGGTGCTTGTATCAATCTTTTGTGTCTGGGGCCTGGGGAATGCTTAAGGGACCATCTTCCTGTTTCCTCAGTTTCACTCTGCTGTTCCAACAGTCTTTCATATGCTGGCATGTTAGGTTTATGTAGAATCCCTGTTGAGTTTTCTGGTTTGCATACTTAATGTAATGTGATTTCTTTGGTGAATTAAATTCTTAGTTTAAGAAATAATAGTTCATGCTTGTTGCCTTTGATTTTGATCAATACTGATGAAACAACACAATTATGGTTTAGTGGCTCACTGAGCAGCAGTAGGAGGCTGCAGGTTCTATAGTGGATATTAAACACAACTGACTGTCTCCATAACATTACTTGGTGATCTTACTGCTAGTTGTTGACTGATGATGAAGTTGGCAACCTATTGCAGGGAAAATTGGATCACACTGTGATAATGACATAGAACTAGGTATATTTTTAATGACAGGGACATATTTGGTGCCCACATGGAATCAGCTTAATCTCTGCGAAGTGCTGACTTTCAAAAGATAGTAACGTGATAGTTACAAATGCAGTGTTACTATAAAATACTGTATTTCCAAAGGAAATCTTTGCCATGCAAAAGCATATTAAACTGTGTGTCAGATGACAGAGTAAAACCATAAAACTGGAAAGAGTCTATTGAAGAAAAAATACTTCATCTGTACTGCATATGGTGTTACAAATGATGCTAATCTGAACAGAAGACACTTTCCTTGCTGTTGTAGAGCAAGAACAGAGATAAACCAAAAATGGAAACTCAAAAGAGGCAGAAAACACAGTGTGGTAAGATGCTCAACATAATTTGTCATTTATTACCTGCATCAATTTTACAAAGTTTTACTAGGCTGTGATAGATTCATCATGGGTGATGAGGTGTTGGGGAAATGTTTTTTTTCCGTATCAAATTTTATGTTGGAAAATCTAATGACAAACTTTCAGCCAGTAGACAATACCACAACAAAGTCACTTCTTGTTTTGCTAGTAGTAACCTACATTTTTACTGTATTTAAACTTCTTTAAGAAACCCCAAGTCTTAAAAATGTTTACAAATCTGTGGTTGCTATTGCAAGTAATTATCAAACAAATTTTTTTATTATATCCATACAACTAAGATTCTGAAACGTGTCTACCTACCTAGGCTTGTGTGTAGGTGCCCAAAAAATGTTTTGTTTTAACTTACTAACTAATATAACAACTCAATTTAAGATTCTAGCTGCTGTGGTAAGGGATGAAGTTTTCTGTAAATAAATACCACATAGTGAGCCTTGCTTTGTTGGATTCCTGCAATTCTATTTTCACTCTGAATATTTTCATGGTTCTATTTTACTCATTCAAATACCCTTAATGCACCTTGCAGTTGCATCTCATTTACTGAGATTGTTACTAGTAATTAAAGGCCAGAAATATGAAAAGGGGGCTGTAACTTTAGCAAAGGACATCATGCTCAAATAACAAACTATGGAAAGGAATATTTTCATATGTAAGTTTGTTATTTGTGGATAGAAAGAAATGGTGTAGGTCCATATTTGCTCACATTTTTTTACTTCAGAAACACATACTACATTTTGGGGCAGGTTGATTGTAATACTAAATAGATCATAAAGTAGAGCTGACAATTTTCATGAAGTTTTTTGTGTTTGCTCACAGATGTGAAAACAGATCTGAACTTATTGCTTGAATGCCTTAAATATCAGATGGACTGCCCTCTATCTCAGAAAGACACTTTGATCACTATTTACTCAATTTGTCAAGAAAACAGTAAGAAGAGTTTTTCCTCAGAAAAAAAATACAGTCATTATGTTAACAATATATGTTAAGAAGTTGTTGTCACTGTAAAAAAAAAAAAAACAACAAAACCTAAAGGATCTTGAAAGATTCTAAAGAGAAATAAAAGCAAAACATTTATTTTTGTTCTTTTTTTTTAATGTTGTAGGTGAAGCAAGTGAATATTTTCGAGAAATTGGTGGTTTGATGTTTGTAAATGATCTTGCAAAGTCAACTATTCATGGCATAGTAAAGGAAGCAGCTTTGTTTACGTTAGGAATTATAATGGAGAGTAATGGTAATAAGTAATATTATTCGTATTTCTGGGTAACTATTACCTCTGTTGTGCTTAGTCTGTGTTACATTTTTGTCTGAGAAAATCTCACAAGCATGTGGGAGTAGGAATGCCACTGTGTCACAGCCTTATCCCCAGATTTGGAGAAATACCTTGCTGAATTGTGTAAGCAGCATGCCTTGATATCAGACAGCTGTACTACTTATCTTCCTCAGCAGCATCAAATGACTTGTAAATTGTTCCAGAGTTTGCCTAGGTTCTGTCTGGTTTAGCACTGACTACAGGAGAAGCCCTCAGCCACTTTGTAGTCCTGGTTTGTCTCCACTTACCACATATGGGATGCAACTGAGACTCTAGTTAATAACGTTACAAATATAATTTAGGTTTATGAATGGCTTGTTTTAGGACTTAATGATTTTTATTTTCTGGTTTCAGTTTATTGTCAACAAACTTTGTGTACTGCTGCATTGTTTGAAGACCTTATTTCATGTTTAATTAATAAGGATTCTGGTGTGAACTTGAAAAGAATGTCTATTTATGTCATCTTAGCACTGGTTTCCAATAATAGTAAGTTCGTTTTATTTTGGGTTTTTTTTTCTGTGTTACACCATTTTTTTTTCTATTTGACAATCTGCAATACAGAAACTTGGAACTTTCAATAGGTAATGTTTAGGTAAAGTTAATTTCTAATGATGAATGATTGCAGGTAACTGAACCTAAATTGTGTAAATTGATCATCACTCACTGGGATTTCCTTAAATAGCAGAAAGTGGTTTAGTACTAAAAATGAAATTATAGTTTAAAAATAATCCAAACCAATAGTTACTGACAATGTATAATAAAAAACAGACATAGAAATTGAACATTTTTGCCAATCTGTTGGTGTTTGTTGCGATTTTGTATTTGTTTTTTTTGGGGGGTGGGATATATGCTTATGAAATGGGAAGAGAATGTATGTAAATTAAACTTGACATTAAGATTTTGTCTCAAGTTGCATATGTCTTAGGAGTCTTGCATGTGTTCTTTTTTAGTAAGTGGGCAAACCTATGTCAGAGATACAGGCTGCATTGGCCTACTGCTACAGTTATTCAGGTGGGCAGTTGCAATTCAAACATAAAATGATAGATTCTTCAACACTTAGGTTTGCTTGACTATTCGGGACTTGTTTGCATTGTTCTTAACAGAACAACTCTTTCCACATCTGAGATCAATCTGTCAGATGAAGATACTAATCAGTGCTATCAGCTGTGGTCCTCAGTCTGCAGTACTCTATGCGCCTGTGTTAACAATCCCCAGAACGGTAAAGTGTTGCTGTTAAAATTGTGACAAAAGTTTAAAGTATTTCTCCAAAGTGGTAACAGCTTAATTTTTGTTAATGATTGTTGGTTTTAGTTCTTTAATGTTCAACTGAAATTTAATAATACATTTTGATTGGGTGTTATTTGTTTTTACTTTTGTAGAATATAATCAAAACATTTGCTCTTCAGTTTTCCCATATGCCAAAGAGCGGCTGGAAAGTTGCACAAAGCCTGAGATAGTTCGTCCTGTTTGTTCATTTGTTGGTCTCACAGTTGCAAATAACTGTAAGTGCAGCTCGAGCTCTAAATAGTTTTTTATTTTTGGAAAAGGAAGTTTGATAGTTAAATGTTTGATTTTTTTTTTTTTTGGTCAATCTACAATTTTGCTGTTCTTCCAGCTTTAACTGAAAACTGTATTCCAGCATCTTAATTTACAGTGTATTCATTGTGCTTAAGTCCACAAATAGCCACAAACTGACTACATTTAGTGAGATTAGTAAAGAAGATTTGGAAGCTGTTTTGATTAAAAGTATTTTACAAATACAAGCCGTTACATATCTGAAAACAGTGACTTTCGTAGAACTCGGGCATAAGGTTTGCCATTTGTATGCAAGCATTAGGGCCATGTGTTCCTTGTAACTATTTTGTATGACAATTACTACATTTCTTGAGAGTAGCATATATTCAACTTCAGTTGCATTGGTGGAAATGTAATGGTTAATACATGCACAGAAAAAATTGTGATGAGCCTAATTGCTAAAATGCTAAAACAGTTTGCAACTCATATTATTTAAGACATTTTCAGTTTGTTTCTCGTTTTTTTTCACTCAGCATGTGTGCAGAAATATTTTGTTTCTGTTGGAGGACTGGATACATTAGCTAGAGTTTTCACCAGGCTTATGCATGATTCCAGTATGAGTCACTCCAGCATAAAACTTGCAATAGAAGTGACAAAGACACTGGATGCCTGCATTGCTAATGACTGTGAGTGAAAAGACCATTACCGTTTTTTATATATGCTAATTTTAAAACGAAATTTTTCAAGTCTGTTTTTCACTGAAAAGTGATAAGAATGGATGCTGGAGGGCATTAAGTCACATACATTGATATTGCAGATTTTTTTAAAATTCAAACAAGTATATGGGGAGCAATTCAATTCACCTGAGGTGGGTTACTTTCGCATTATTGCTAAAATAATGAAATTTAAACAAGACTGAAAATTAAAAATAAGATGCTAGTTTTGTGTAAGTAAAGCTGAGAACTGTGTGTGTGGCAGTCAGCTTGGATCCTGAAGTTAGAGATCTGTTTCTATAGGCCTGTGCCTAAACTAATAAGCTTTGTAAGCTTTGGGAGGCTTTAGTAACTCAGGCTGGAGCTGAACAGATGCGGTATTTTTGCATGACACATCTTCACTTTGATCTACTGTCTGGAGAGTGCTCTCCTAATGAGGTCTTTGTGTATTGCATCAGGTTTTGAGAACCCTGTGAGCCTGATCAATCTGTGCTGTTGGCCATGATTATTAAATTTGACACTTGTGCTCTAAGTGCTTCTGAATGGAAGTTAAAAAAAGTTTAAAAGCATATACCTGCACTAGTTTTGAGCTTAGTTTCAAAGAATTTGATCTGGGCCAGGATTAGGTGTCAGCATGTGTGTACTAGAGGTGGAGTTCCTGGTTTCAGGAAGAGGTTGACCTGTAGCAGAAACATTCTTAGCATTTTTGTGGCAGATAATCCATGTGTCAAACCTTATTCTACTCTTTTGCTCCATTTTGGTGTGGACAAACTGAGCAGAGGTCTACAAAACCTGCACATTGCAAAGGGCTTGTTTGTCAGGTATTTTTCCCCACCTCTATACCACACAACCTGGGAGAAAGTGCAGCATCGGCTATGGGACAGAACTGCTGCTCCAGGAGGGATGTAATGATTTGAAGTGTTAAAATGAAAGAGGACTGTGAAGGCCCAAGGCTTTTAGAGGGCTGCAGATTTACCTTGAAAAACAGCATTTATATTTGGATGATGCCTATATACTTACTATTCTGTTTATTTTTCTTCAAATTACTTTTTACATAATAGCTACCATAGGTGTTGTCTTGACAAAGTACCACACTGTGTCAGAGCTACTAAAGCTGCTGTCCAATGACACTCTGGATACAAGCGAAAAAATTTGTATTATTCTGACCATTGGACACTGTACTGAAGTTTGTGGTAAGATTTTTTTTTTCTTTCTATCATTTTCTATTGAATTGTTATAAACTAACAACTTCAATGGTATCATTTATCAAGACTGGAAAATGAAGGGAAATTCTTTTAAATAATATAATATTAATATTTAGAAAAAGCAGACTATTATGCAGGAATTCAGAGCTGGTCTTAGGTATCACAGGATAAAATTCATCCAGACGTGAAAGCTACTACACAAATAGTACACAAGTCTTTTTGAGCTTTGTTTTAATGGTCCTTGATACATACAGCTTCGGTCCACTGCTTACATAGCTGTTAATTTATTTTAAAAGCTATGTAAAAGTATTGGTGTTGAAGTAATGTAAGCACTAAGTAATCCTGAAGTATTTTTGCGAGGCTCCTCAGGGCTTTCCCAAGGATGGAAACATTTAACATTTCAGTTGGTATTTTATGGCAGTAAAAGCAACAGAATGGAAACTTGTGAAATACTGATCATTATTTATACTACTGGTTTTTCATATGTATTTCAGAGATGCAAGAAAAAAGGATTATGTTCAAAAATCCTCATTGATTATCATCCTTTCTCAACAAGAAGTTCAATAATAAGCTCAGTAGGTCATAAATCACTTTTAAAGATGCTTTCTCATGAAGAATTAATTAACATAGCTTAACGGAAAATGCCTTTCAAATAGAAATATGGTAAAACCAACAGAATGAAAGTTTCTCTTAAAATGTCACCACTGACAAAATAACCATATTTCATTTGTTTTTCTGACTCCCTTGTTTTATTTAGACAACAAAGAATTAGTTTTTAGGAAGTTGGCAGGTATATGAATGTATACAGCAAATGACAACACAGTAAAAAATATAGCTAATTACATAGTTAATGAGGAGGAACAGATTAGCTAGATTGGGGTTAAACTACTAATTTTATTTGAGTTTTTCCAGTTACAAACTTTTTGATGTTTCTGCATCTCAAGATCCACATAAATATAGTATATATACTTTAGGAGTATATACCAGAGGAAAAGAAATACAGAAGCCAGAATTCAGATTTTTAAGGCAACAGTTAAATGAGTTGGTATCTCTATCACAATTCATCTCAGTCCTCCTTCAATTTTCTTACAATAACTTTGAGCTATGGTCAAATCTGTGTGATTGAAAGTGCTTTTGCTGCAACCCAGAGAAGAAGTCATTACAGCACGCTTGGATCCACAATAAAACTGTGTATGAAGCTGAAAACAATCTATTTTCCTTTACAATATCGTGTTTTAGAAGAAAACCAGTGTGAGCTGCTCCAGAATAATGGTCTTCCACTTATGATTCAGTTATTAACGGAGTCTCAGGATGAGGAACTAAACAAAGTGGCTACTTTTGTCCTTCAAAACTGCAAACAAATGAGTAAGCTTACTGTTACTGCTTTAAAAATTACAGAGATTATTTCTGTTTTAAGTTCTGTTGACTTTCTGAGTGATTTTTACTGTGGAAACTTAGTAATTCTCCGTACTCCGAGTGATGTTTATTTTCTGCAGAAAAGTTGCATGTTTACTACCATTGACTCATGACAGACAGCATTTAGGCACAAAAAAAGTAAATATTCCAACAATGTTGCAATGATGCATTTGTGAAATCTGTATATGTAGGGCCAGTTCCTGAATCTATAAATTCTGTGCAAATATTAGCATTGTCCTCTAACACACAGTTGGTACTCTATTCCTTGGTATGTATGCTTCTTTATAAAGGCTAAGCTGATCGATAATCAAGCCCAAAATCACCATGACTACAATTATTTTGCAACACGAAAAAAATACTTTGATTTTTTTTTTAAATAAGGTGTATTTTGAAGTATCCTTTTTAATGTTTTTTGATGCTTTGTTTGTTTTTTAATTAGCTGTAGAATACAGAAAGACATGTCCTTTTATCTCTAAAGCGTGGAAGTATTATGCAGTTGATAATTAGTAAAAAGCATGTATCTACATTTTTGTGCTACAAACTTAACTAGGAGTTTTGTATAAGATTAAGGGGGTGTAGTGATTTTCAGTGCCCATTAATATGGAGTTGTTTCTTAAACAAAAACAGAGACATATACAGGTAAAAGACGTATAGAATGAGGATTAAGTCCATGATAACAGTTTTTTAAAGCAGAGCATTATTGTGTAAAAAGCTTATAGCAACTACAATTGCAAGCTCACCTCTTGTAACTGCACTTTATATTTGGATTTTATTAACATTTACATGTACCTTAAATTATATTAAAATTATTATTCAGAGGTTATATTTTGCATTAAATTATTGGGGCTGTTCCTCAGCATACTAAAATATAATGCTTATCGAAGTGTTCATTTAAAAAAGCTTGTAATATTAATATTTTTTTTTTTATGATTTATAAAGCGAAACAGTTGTTCCTGAAAATAAATTATAATTCATTAAATGTAACCAATACAGAGGAATTGGACATGCAAGTCAGAAAAAGAAGTCTAGAAGACTACTGGAAGGAAGCAAAAGGAATTTTACACGGAATAAACTTGCTTGAAAAGGAGTGTAATGAGGTTGGCCATTTACCGAAGTAGATCAAACTAAGCAATTTTTTCTGCAGTTTAGGGTTAAATAAAATGTGAACCCTTAAGGTTATTTCAGTGTAAGCTAGAAAAGTAGGGAAAACACTGGATGTGTGTGAAAATGCAACCTGCAACTTCTACCATTATATCATACAGATTTAAAAGTATGCAGGACAGTTGGAGAATATAGGCATCTGTGTTTTTATGAAGCATTTTAATTTATTGTAAAACCAGATTTTCTACAAATTTGAAATCATTTAGGTTGGAGAAAAAAGAGTTGGATTTATTTTTAATTGCCAAACATTTGAAGCAATAATGTGAATATTTGCAACTATGACATGCCCATGATTGTACAGCTATGAGACAGGTGATAATAGAAAATGAGGGCGTAAACTAAAATAAAGTTGTTGCATATTTTCCTTGTGCTATATAACTGCATGTTATCTCTGGGTGTGGAACTGCAATTTTTTTAGTTATTCAGCTGGATCTTACTTACATATTTTAATTTCTAGAAGTGCCTCGTATTAGTAGCAAATCCAGTGCTTCAGCCTGGAATTATCACTTAGTAACTACCCTTTCAACACCTTCAGCAGCACTGTCTTGTGGGCTCTTAACTCGGGGATTTCTGAAGCTTCTCTGGAATTTCTGTTACCTCCAGAGTTAGACTTGTATATCCTACTTAATCTTGTTACTAGAATTATTTAATATTTTTATAGAGCTTGTATTGACTACTTGTATTGTACTGACTAGTACTTGTATTGTACTGACTAGTATTTTTCAATACAGGAAAGTGTGAAAGGAGGAGTATTTGTAGAAAGATCCTCAGAAGCCAATACTGAAGCATCCAAATACTATGAGGTGAATCCTGCTGATCGAGAAACTTACATGGCAAGAACACATAAGGAAATACATTGTCCACAGTCAGATGATCAGGTTCTTTCTCCATCTGTAAATTCCTCTGCACTGAGAAATGAAATAGTTAACCCTGTGAATCTAGTAAATGCTTCTGTGAGACAAAGTGAACAGAGGAATAGTTTGTGTTCAGTTAATGAACTGCAAACAGACAGTGTACTACAAAGTCACACTATGAATGAAAGAACTACTTGTGTAAAAGATCAGTCTATTCAAGTAAGGTAGGTGTCTTAAACCTGAGCAGAAATACTAACTTGTTTTTCTTTAGTAATTTTCAAACTGAATGTTAGCCTTTTACATTAGCTTTTACTAAGTAGGGTTTTTTTCCTGCTAGTGGAAAGGCATAGCCTTTTGGTGGCTCACTAGAGAGTACTTTGTCAAAGTGTTTTTGAAGTCACAGATTAAAGACGATAGGCATGGTAGTAATAAAGTACCATCTTTTTCTCTGAATAATAGCTTCTGACATTTTATAGGGAGCCAAGTACAGGCCATGTTCTAATGTCTTCAACATAGTGATGAAAAATCATCCGTTGTTTTTGCCTCAAAATTCTCGCTGATTTAGTAAATCAAAATTTCAACAACTGATTTGAATGAAGCCACAAAGAATTCTGTTATATGCATTTCCTAGGAAAACAGCAGTTACAGATCTGCTCTGCAAAAAAATTGGAGTGCTTACGAACTACAGAAAAAAGCCTCCACTCCCTGCTTTTCTCCCCTCATATTCAATTGCTTCCCTCCATGGGAAGAGAAAGATGGAGCCTTATTTAGTCATTCATTGTTCTCTTGCTTGTTACTCTCACACAAATGTGGCTGGCTGGACCCTGCTCATGTGCAGCTTACTTGCATGCATTATATTGTAACTTTGCAACCACCACAGAAATTACCAAAAGCCTACGATATTTTCCATGATACTTTCAGATAAATTTTGCTTTGCTACTGATTAGCATAATTTGACATAGATTATTTGTTCTTCTGTACTCTGAAGCACAAAACTATTAAGACTTCTTTTGGGAGGAGGGGGGGAGGAGAAAAGCTCTCTCCTTGCATATGTATTCACAGTATCACAGTATGTTAGAGATTGGAAGGGACCTCAAAAGATCATCTAGTCCAATCCCCCTGCCGGAGCAGGAACACCTAGATAAGGTTACACAGGAACGTGTCCAGGCGGGTTTTGAATGTCTCCAAAGAAGGAGATTCCACAACCTCCCTGGGCAGCCTGTTCCAGTGTTCCGTCACCCTCACTGAGAAGAAGTTTCTTCTCAGGTTTAAGTGGAACCTCTTGTGCTCCAATTTGTACCCCTTGTCCTTTCATTGTTTGCCACTGAGAAGAGCCTGGCTCCATCCTCGTGACACTCCCCCTTTATATATTTATATACGCTAATAAGGTCACCCCTTAATCTCCTCTTCTCCAAACTATAGAGACCCAGCTCCCTCAGTCTCTCCTCATAAGGGAGATGCTCCACTCCCTTAATCATCTTAGTTGCCCTGCGCTGGACTCTCTCCAGCAGGTCCCTGTCCTTTTTAAACTGAGGGGCCCAGAACTGGACACAATATTCCAGATGAGGTCTCACCAGGGCAGAGTAGAGGGGAAGGAGGACCTCTCTCGACCTACTAACCACCCCCCTTCTAATACAACCCAGGATGCCATTGGCCTTCTTGGCCACAAGGGCACAGTGTCGGCTCATGGTCACCCTGTCGTCCACCAGGACCCCCAGGTCCCTCTCCCCTACACTGCTCTCTAACAGGTCGTTCCCCAGCCTATACTGGAACCTGGGGTTGTTCCTGCCCAGATGCAGGACTCTACACTTTCCCTTGTTATATTTCATCAAGTTATTCCCTGCCCAGCTCTCCAGCCTGTCCAGGTCCCTCTGGATGGCAGCACAGCCTTCTGGCGTGTCGGCCACCCCTCCCAGCTTAGTGTCATCAGCAAACTTGCTGATAGTACACTCAATTCCCTCATCTAAATCGTTGATGAATATATTAAATAATACTGCTCCCAGTACCGACCCTTGAGGCACTCCACTAGATACAGGCCTCCAACTAGACTCCGCCCCATAGACTACAATGTATTCATGTGACAAAAGGAGTTAACCAAGGATACCATGGATCAGGCTTCCTGCTCCTGCAGCATTTGGAGGTAGTCAATGACATAGAAAAATGTATGATCACCATATCACAGGAGCATATAAGTATCATGGAAGTTACTATAAGAAAAAATATCAATTGCCTTCTAGAGCAATTGCTACATCTATTGAAGGATACAGTATTTGGAAGAGCTTGTGAAAGTTTTATGTGCGCTAGGCAATCTTTATGTTAATCAGGATTGCAAATGAGCCAGCATCCCTTGAAGGCACTGCACTCCCAGTGCTAAACAGCACTGCAAGGAGTGCTTATCACAGGTCTCCGGTAAACTGAATTCCAACACAGTGATTACATGCTGGATACTACAACCCCAGTAGCATGGAATAATTAGGGGTTTTTTTAAGTTTAAACTTTTATATGTTTAATATGTGTTTTGTTTTGCCTTTGGAACGTATGTATTGATTTACAAGTAAATATATGTTTGAAAATGTGGTTTTTATTTTTTTCCCCACTGTTTACATTCTGATCTTCCCAGTGAACACTTATTTAAGAAACCAGCAATGACTGTTAAAAACGTGAAACAGACACGCACATCAGGTACAAATAGATAGGCATACTCCTTTCTTAACTATTCTTGTTCTTAATGAGATTTTATTAGGTTTGTGTGTTTTAATCACTTTTTTAAATCAAAATTTATGTATCATTAGATGATGGAGTACATTGTGTAATGTATCACTTAACTGTTTGCATAGTTTGGGAATTTTATAGTGTGTGCAATTTTACTAGGAGAATATTTATTTTCCTTCTAATACATATTTTAGCTTTCTTTTTTTTAGTTGATTTTACATATTCACATGAATGTATCACAGATAAATGTTTTTATTTTAGTCTGAATGCAGTCTATACTGAACAATGAAAGCCAGTAATAGAAAATGTGGAGCATGTCCAATAAAGAAGTGGAAGAGCAGTTTTGGTAGGAGGCTTGCCAGACTGGTCAAGGAGGCTTTAAACTAGATGTGTTGGGGGGGGGGAGGGCATCATTCCATCCCAACACACCCAGTCAGTTGCCAACACCTGTAATAAATGCTCAGAGCAATGCAGAGATATTCCGGCTGCTCCAGCCAATGAGCTGGCTTCATTTGGAGCTCGGCTGAGATGCCTCTATACAAAAGCCCGTAGGATGGGGAACAAACGAGGAATTAGAGATGTGTGCTCGTCTACGGGGGTATGATATAATAGGCATCACAGAAACATGGTGGGATGGCTCCTATGACTGGAGTGTTGGAATGGAAGGTTACAGGCTCTTTAGAAAAGAGAGGCCTGGCAGGAGGGGAGGGGGAGTTGCTATTTATGTTAGGGATAGGCTGGAGAGTATGGAACTCTGGGGGCTGGTGAGCTGTTAACAGAGAGCTTGTGGGTCAGGGTTAAAGGGAAAACAGCGATGGGAGACATTACTGTGGGGATCAGATATAGCCCGCCTGATTAAGAGGAATCTGTTGATGAAGCACTCTATAGGCAGATAGGAAAAGCCTCACGCTCGCAGGCCCTCATTCTCATGGGTGACTTCAACCGCCCTGACATCTGTTGGAATGACAGTACGGCCTGGCACAAGGAATCCAGGAGGTTCCTCGATTGTGTGGAAGACAGCTTCCTTCTGCAAGTAATAGAGGAGCTGACAAGGAGAGGTGCCATGCTTGACCTTGTGCTCACCAACAGGGAAGGGCTCGTTGGAAATGTGGCACTGCAGGGCAGCCTTGGATGCAGCGATCACGAGATGGTTGAATTTGAGATCCTTAGGACAGTGAGAAGAACCTTCCGCAAGCTCACTGCCCTAGCTTCAAAAGAGCAGACTTTGGCCTCCTCAGGAACCTGCTTAGTAAGGTTCCACGGGATATAGCCCTAGAGGGTAGGGGGACTCAAGACTCTTGGTTCGTCTTCAAGGATCACCTGCTACAAGCTCAGGAGTGTTGCATCCCAACCAGAAGGAAGTGCAGCAGGAGGGCCAGGAGACCTCCTTGGATGGATAAGGAGCTGCTGAGGAAAATTCAAATGAAAAAAGAGTTTTATAGAAAGTGGAAGCAAGGACAGGCGGCCTGGGAAGAGTACAGGGATGTTGTCCGGGAAGCTAGGGACCAGGTTAGGAAAGCTAAGGCCCAGTTAGAATTAAACTTGGCTAGGGATATTAAGGATAACAGGAAGGGATTCTACAGGTACATAGCAAATAAAAAACAGATTAGGGAGAACGTAGGCCCCCTCAGGAAGCTCTCAGGTGAACTAGCTACACAGGATTTGGAGAAGGCTGAGGTTCTGAATGATTTCTTTGCCTCCGTCTTCAGTGCCAAAGGCTGTGACCGCACCACCCAAGTCTTGGAAGCCAGATGCAGGGAGTATGAGAATGAAGACCTTGGGCCCACTGTAGAGAGGAATTGGTTCGAGACCATCTTAAAAATCTGAACGTGCACAAGTCCCTGGGTCCTGATGAAATCCATCCGCAGGTCCTGAAGGAGCTGGCGAATGAAGTTGCTATGCCGCTGGCTATCATATTTGAAAAATCATGGCAGTCAGGTGAAGTGCCTGATGACTGGAAAAAGGGAAATATAACCCCCATTTTCAAGAAGGGGAAAATGGATGACCCAGGCAATTACAGAGCAGTCAGTCTCACCTCTGTGCCTGGCAAAATCTTGCAGCAGATTCTCCTGAAAGGCATGCTAAGGCACATGAAAAACAACAAGGTGCTTGCTGACAGCCAGAATGGCTTCACAAAGGGGAAATCCCACCTGACCAATTTGGTGGCCTTTTATGATGGGGCTACAGAACTGATGGACAGCGGTAGAGCAGTTGATGTCATCTACCTGGATTTGTGTAAAGTGTTCGACACTGTCCCACACGACATCCTTGTCTCTAAATTGGAGAGACATCAATTTGATGGATGGACCACTCAGTGGATAAAGAACTGGCTGGATGGCCGCACACAAAGAGTTGTGGTCAATGGCTCAATGTCCGGCTGGAGACCAGTAACAAGTGGTGTCCCTCAGGGATCGGTGTTGGGACCGGTCTTGTTTAACATCTTTGTCGGTGACATGGACAGTGGGATTGAGTGCGCCCTCAGCAAGTTTGCCGATGACACCAAGCTGTGTGGTTCAGTTGATACGCTGGAGGGAAGGAATGCCATCCAGAGGGACCTTGACACGCTTGTGAGGTGGGCTGATGCCAACCTCATGAAGTTTAACCATGCCAAGTGCAAGGTCCTACACCTGGGTCGGAGCAATCCCAGGCACAGCTGCAGGTTGGGCAGAGAAGAGATTCAGAGCAGCCCTGCGGAGAAGGACTTGGGGGTGCTGGTTGATGAGAAAATGAACATGAGCCGGCTTCAGTGTGCGCTTGCAGCCCAGAAAGCCAACCGTATCCTGGGCTGCATCAAAAGGAGCGTGACCAGCAGGTTGAAGGAGGTGATCCTGCCCCTTTACTCTGCTCTTGTGAGACCTCACTTGGAGTACTGTGTGCAGTTCTGGTGTCCTCAACATAAAAAGGACATGGATCTGTTGGAACAAGTCCAGAGGAGGGCCACGAGAATGATCAGGGGACTGGAGCACCTCCCATATGAAGACAGGCTGAGAAAGTTGGGGCTGTTCAGCCTGGAGAATAGAAGGCTGCGTGGAGACCTCATAGCAGCCTTCCAGTATCTGAAGGGGGCCTATAGGGATGCTGGGGATGGACTCTTCATTAGGGACTGTAGAGATAGGACGAAGGGTAATGGGTTAAAACTTAAACAGGGGTAGTTTAGATTGGATATAAGAAGGAAATTCGTTCCTGTTAGGGTGGGGAGGCACTGGAATAGGTTGTCCAGGGAGGTTGTGAATGCTCCATCCCTGGCAGTGTTCAAGGCCAGGTTGGACGAGGCCTTGGGTGATACAGTTTAGAGCGAGGTGTCCCTGCCCGTGGCAGGGGGGTTGGAACTTGATGATCTTAAGGTCCTTTCCAACCCTAACTATTCTATGATTCTGTGATTCCATCTGTCATTGTAAGACCGGTGATAGAACCTGCCTGTGAGCATGACTTGCCTAAAGCTTTTCCTACATGTTCAAGATGTGTTTAAGGTAAATGTTTTTCAGATTTTCATTGATCTTTTTAGTCTGATACATTTACTTCAGAACTTTGACATGTCCGATTAAATCTTTATTCATAATTTAGCTTCCTGTTAATTTATAAAATTTATAATTATTCATTAGATTAGTATATGCCAGAATGGTAGCTTTTCAGGTGACCAAGCTTATCTCCAGGTTATACCTATTTAAACTGAGAATAAGTATTATTCCAGCACATCACATTTTTCAGCATCTGATTCCATATAGAAATAATGTTTATAGAGCTTTGTTAAGCAATGTAAGTTTACAGGGTTGTTTTGCTCTGTTCAAGCAGAAGCAATATGCTTTGGGAGAATGATGAAAAAGCACTGAATTAAGTGTAATTATTCTGGATTTGCAAAATTATAAATGTGATCCATTTAGCTTGAGGAATTTCATTTGGAGGTTTTGCTGTTATGTAAATTAAACTTTAATAACCTAGAGATAGAAAATACAGTTGAATATAGGTGTGCTGATGCATGATTGCCATGGAAAAAGATCAGTTGCATTTTCTTAGTGTTTTTTTTTTCCTTCCTAATTTAGATCAACACTCGGAGATAACCAAAGGAGAAAAATGTACTTTAGCTACATCTGCATCCCAGAAAATGGCAGAATTCAGGTGTTCAGGTAAATATTATCCTAGGTCTTTCTTTTCTGAGTCCATAAAAACTACTCTGCAGCCCTTCTGTTTTCTCTGCATTACTGCTATTAAGTACACTCAGTCAGTTCTACAGTAATCCATGATTGCAGCCTTCAGTTATCCCATCTTCTAATACCTAAACTCAGTTTATCAGTATGTTCTAAGAATGCTGCTGGCACTCAGGGTTTGTAAGTGTATTTTGTAATTAAGCCCGTGTCTCTTGATTTTAAAAGAAGAAAAAAGGGGGGGAGTATGAAGCACCGTAAGCCACCTTTGAACATGTAGGCATACAGCTGTCAAACTAAATTCAGCTTGATCGTTAGCACTGTTTTATTTTAGGCTAGAATATTATAGTTATGTTCCAGTGATGTTCTTGTAACTCCACACAGTGCAGAATTTCACCTTCAGCTGATGTAACTAACTATGAGAACATCCAAGAATAACTAAACCATACATTACCCTAGGAATGTCCCCCAAAAAAACAGGAAGGCTTACTGTGAGGAAACTCGTAAGATAGACATTGTTTATTCAGGTTAATACAGGTAACTGTTACAACACAGAGAAAGTTTCAAAGAATAGCAAAGACATCTTTTATATTTTGGTTCCTGGATAAATTTACAAAGGGAACTGAGGCACCTTTCTTCCAGTTCCACTAATATTTTCACTTCCCTAGAGGATCCATGCCTCATTTAGTGCTTCTGGAGTTGAAGTGCAGTGTAAAAGAGCAAGTACAAAACAAGAAGGCACACAAAAGTGTAACGTCTTTTGAGATGTGTATATGGAAAATGGAGGTTAAATTGTAGATTGTAGTGTCAAAATAACACACTGGATTTTGTGATGGCTTCTATAGTCTTCATGCTTGCTGTTTCTACAATGTCCTGGTGTTTTTCCAGGTTGTAAGGCGGGAGAACTGTCCTTCAATAGTAAAACCTTTATCAAGGTGTTGCAAAGTTGTCCATACCAGTGTGAGCATCACAAAGTCATTCTGGAAGCTGAAGAAAGACGTAAAAAGAGGCTTTGCAAATTGACTGTTTGTAACAGGAGATACGCAGCTTCTGAGAGTAATTATGATTGTCTTTTTGGTAATTGTAACTATTGTAAATAGTATTTAAAATTCTGAACTTATTTTAGTTTGATTCTGATTGTCCTGCTCCTGTAAATTCACTCATTTAATTTGATTTACCAATGATTTGTACTATGCAAGATGAGAACTAGGCAATTCTGTTTGAGGATCTTGTGTCTTTCTTATATGCTACTGTAATATCTTATATTATATAATCTTACATTGTTACATAATATCTATGTTCTAACAAGGTAATTTCATTCTAATATTACATATTTATGGATGTGAGAGGCTTATAATTCTTAAGGAATAAAATAAAAGTACATCCTGTATTTATTTGGTTTAAAAGAGGAGTTTTGAAAGTTAAAGTTATTAATGGCATTTGTACCGGTGTCCATCTTATATTTTGCAGAAATACTGCTGACCCCTGAGAAGAAACAAAGACTGCATGCAGAAATACCAACTCTTAGGAGAAGACTGGATAGTTCTCAAAGTAAGGGCTTATTCGGGTACTAATAAAGAGAATATATTAAGTTGAAGTAAGTGTGAATGAATGTATGACATTATAACAAGGTGATTTCATTCTAATATTGCATATTCATGGATATGAGAGGCTTATAGTTCTTAATGAATAAAATTAAAGCGTATCCTTTTTTTTTTTTTAAAGGAGCATTTTGAAAATTAAACAGTTATTACTTACTGTCATTTGTACTGGTGTCCATCTTATATTTTGCAGAAATACTGCTGACCCCAAAGAAGAAAGAAAGAGTACATGCAGAAATACCAATTTTGAAGAGTGAAATGGTTGATTTTCAAAGTAAGGGCTTGGTTTAGAAATTAATGCAAAAAGTCTTTACCAAGTAATTCTTTTGCAGGACTTTAACATGAGAGGCTGTGGATAAGGAATTACATTGTGGGCTTTTTCTGTAGATTCTGTGAAAAAAATCTGTATATCAATAGGCCAGAAAAATGCTATTTTGTAATCCTGATATTGTGTTATGCACATTAGTTCAGAATGAATTTGGCACTTCCTTTGAAGATACTTCTTCGAATCCTGCCAGGGCTGCTTCCTTGCCATCTGCTATTCTTCAGTTTTGCGGTGTTAATTTTTAAAATTGAGAGGTATAGTCAGGACCAGAGTACAGTACAGTTCCTGTTTCTGGATTCAGCATCACTCTATTATACATTTATAGCCATGTTATCCTGTCATACCTGTTTCTGTTCCAGCTTGGAGCTCTGATAAGGACTTGGGCCTCTGTGTCCTGAATAGCTAAAAAGGTAAACCTTAACATATACATCAATACTAGAGCAAGTAACTGAAAACAACCTGTCACAAAAATTAAGTACTGGAGATACATTTACCTGTCCTATATTATGAGGTGCTGAATAAGATATTACTAACAAGGTAAAGTTGTGAATATCGTTACTTTATTTAATTTCTGGTAATGGGTTAAAACTTAAACAGGGGAAGTTTAGATTGGATATAAGGAGGAAGTTCTTTACTGTAAGGGCGGTGAGGCACTGGATTGGGTTGCCCAGGGAAGTTGTGAATGCTCTGTCCCTGGTGGTGTTCAAGGCCAGGTTGAACAGAGCCTTGGGTGAGATGGTTTAGTGTGAGGTGTCCCTGTCCATGGCAGTGGGTTTGGATCTAGATGATCTTAAGGTCCTTTCCAACCCTAACTGGTCTGTGATTCTGTGATAGCTATGGAGGTCTCTTTAAGAGAAATAAATAAATTCTAACTGTATTTAATTTCAAGAGCCTACTACGCTAATATGTTATCTTTAGCAAGTAAGTATTTTCTGAAGTAAACTGATTTTTCCAGTCTTTCTTCAAAGACCAGATAGCAGTTTGGCTCAAAAAAAAATCAGTTCTCTCTTAAATTTTAATTCCTACAACATTACCTGTGTTTTGGTTTTTTTTTAAGAAAGATGCATGTCAGGGTTTAAACTCAGTCAGGATGTTGGGATGATGGTTGGAGGGAAGTCAGGGCCAGTTGCTGGTGACCTGAAGACATCTAATTGGTGGGCTATAAAAGTGCTACTTAGCAGGCAACAGCAGGCAATTGAGTTCATTGGCTGTTTTCCCCTAAAATCAAATCCACTTGAGATCCCATCTGGAGAACAAGTCTAGCTAGGTCTTCCATCCCACTTCGTCTTCTCTGTGATCCTGCAGGTAAAACCATAGGGTGGCCTGTGGCGTGTAGGTGGAGGGATGATGGTAGAGCAGTAGATGTAGTTTTTCTTGATTTCAGTAAGGCATTTGATACTGTCTCCCACAGCATTCTCATAGATAAGCTAAGGAAGTGTGGGCTTGATGATCAGGTAGTGAGGTGGATCAAGAACTGGTTGGAAGGAAGAAGGCAGAGAGTTGTGGTCAATGGTGCAGAATCTAGCTGGAGGTCTGTGACTGGTGGAGTCCCGCAGGGGTTGGTGCTGGGACCAGTGCTGTTTAATATTTTCATCAACGACCTGCATGAGGGAAACGAGTGTACTCTCAGCAAGTTCGCTGATGACACTAAACTGGGAGGAATGGCTGACACACCAGAAGGCTGTGTTGCCATTCAGTGAGACCTGGACAGGCTGGAGAGTTGGGTGGGGAGAAATTTGATGAAATTCAACAAGGGCAAGTGTAGAGTCTTGCATCTGGGGAAGAACAACCCCATGTACCAGTACAGGCTGGGGACTGACCTGCTGGAAAGTAGCGAAGGGGAAAGGGACCTGGGGGTCCTGGTGGGTAGGATGAACATGAGCCAGCAATGTGCCCTTGTGGCCAAGAAGGCAAATGGCATCCTGGGGTGCATTAGAAAGGGTGTGGTTAGTAGGTCAAGAGAGGTTCTCCTTCCCCTCTGTTCTGCCCTGGTTAGGCCACATCTGGAATATTGCGTCCAGTTCTGGGCCCCTCAGTTCAAGAAGGACAGGGAACTGCTTGAAAGAGTCCAGTGCAGAGCCACAAAGGTGATTAAGGGAGTGGAACACCTCCTTTATGAGGAGAGGCTGAAGGAGCTGGGTCTCTTCAGCTTGGAGAAGAGGAGACTGAGGGGTGACCTCATCAGTGTTTACAAATATGTAACGGGTGGGTGTCATGATGATGGAGCTAGGCTTTTTTCAGTGATATCCAGTGATAGGACAAGGGGCAATGGGTGTAAACTGGAGCATAGAAGGTTTCACGTTAACATCAGGAAGAACTTCTTTACTGTGAGAGTGACAGAGCACTGGAACAGGTTGCCCAGGGGGGTTGTGGAGTCTCCCACATTGGAGATACTCAAGGCCCGCCTGGACAAGTTCCTGTGTGATGTACTCTAGGTTACCCTGCTCTTGCAGGGGGCTTGGACCAGATGATCTCTTGAGGTCCCTTCCAACCCTTGGGATTCTGTGATTCTGTGATTCTCTCTCAAGCAGCAGGTCGCCTTTTGTTAATAGCTGAGACGTGTGTTGGTACATGTGGGGAGCTGAATAGATCTGATAGATCGTCTCTCAATTGTTTGAACTCGTGAAACAGTTTTTCCACAGCTGAGATGATGAAAGGGGTGAGATTGTCTTTGAACTCTCAGAGTTTATGAATCATTTAATCCACTGTTAGAGGTCATTCCAGTTTACTGTTGCCAATGAATGGGCATATGATGATGGTGTATTCCATGTAAATTTCTGCCACATGTTTCATGTACATTCGACTTCATCTATATCTATGAGTACATCCCCGTTATTTGGCTTGATATGGTAGACCATCTCTACAATGGCTGATCCCTTCAGAGACTGGATGCCTTTCTCTAGAGTAGTCCACTTGGCCAAGCAACTCATAACATCGTCCTTGTACGGAAACCTTTCTTTCACAGCTGCCAAGAGCTGCCTCCAAAGGCTGAGGGACTTTTTCTTTCTTGCAATTGCTTTGTCAATTCCCCCTTCCCTAGAAAGTGATCCCAGCTGCTTGGGTTCCCTACTTTCTAGTTCGCAACTGTAGGCCCCATTGTCCCAGCATCAGAGCAGCCAGGTGATGATGTGCTCCCCTGGTTGATGGGTAAAATCTTTTAGCATATTCTGTAACTCAGTTGAGGTCTGGGGTTGAGACATTGCCTCTTCTTCCTCTGATTCACATACTAATAAATCCTGGTCAGATACTGTCCTGGGTGATGAGTACATTGTTTCTTCATCTTGCTTCGTCTTTCTTGCCTCTTTTTGGCTTTTCCTCTTGTGTACAGGGGCAAATGATGTTGGCACAAATTGATCCTCTGGTGTAGCTTCTGTACTTGGAGTTGGATTAACTGTGCGGTTTGTTGCAGTCAAAGTTTGGGTAGCTACTGTACTTGTTGCTGGGACTGGTGTAGCTGGTGTGCTTGGAGCTGGAGTAACTGCACTGTCTGTTGTGGTCAGGGTTTGAGTAGCTGCTGTAATTGTCACTGGGGCTGGTGTAGCTGCTGTGCTTGGAGCTGGAGTAGCTGCGCTGTCTGTTGCTTTGCCATCAGATCCAGAGACATCTTTTTCCCTTTGAAGGTGCTGGATAGTGTTGAACAGGGCTCCGTAAGCATAGGCCAAGCCCCAGCATGTTGCCATCATTTGTCCCTCTCTAGTATGACCAGAATGACAACACACCTCATTTAAGTGTTTTACTAATTTTTCTGGATTTTGCACTTGTTCAGTGGTGAAATTCCAAAGCACTGGAGGGGCCCACTGGCCTAGATACTTGCCCATACTATCCCACACACCCTGCCACTCATGGCTGTCAGGCCTCAGGGGTAATCTCCAGGTCCTCCTATATTGTTGTCTAACCCTAGACAAGACCCAGACCCGACTCTGCTTAACTCAGATGAAGATCAGATGAACTGGTTGTGGGTAAAACACACTCTGTATGCATGCCAACATGGTGATCCCCATCACAATCAGCAGGCAGGTCTCAAGGGTACCTAAAGGCCATTCAAAACCTTCAGAACTCTCAAGTGATACTGTAAACGGCCGGGGGGGGGGCTGGGAGTGTAAGGGAATGTCTTCTTCAAGGGTTGACCACCTGAGAAGGAATAAAAGATGTGTAATTGTTAAACACTTCTATTATATACCTCCCAAAGTATATAGATGGTGACCACACTGGGAACGCAAGCCAGATCAGTTTCATGCTCAATGAGTCTATTGTATTACAAGTCAGTACCGTAAAATAGAATGAAACAAGAACCTTAGCCCAAGGCCCCCAGCCGATAAACACTAACACAACAAATATCTGCTCTGAGTAAGGTACAACATGCTGAAACTGTGAGATCAAGAGCAACAACTTTGAGAGCCAATAAATCAGCATTGTGATGAGTTACTATTAACCCGAAACAATGAATGCTTATCACACATATGACTAGACACACTCTGGTCAGATCTGTCGTTATCTCAACCCTTCATGCCCCATGTTGGGCACCAAAAAGAACTGTCGTGGTTTAAGCTCACTCAGCCTCGCAGTCTCTCTCTCACTCTCCCCTTTTGTCCCCCCAGCTCCCAGAGGGATAGGGAGGAGAACCGGAAGAATGTAAGTCCCACGGGTTGAGATAAGAACAGTCCAGTAACTAAAGTATAACACAAAACCACTGCTACCACCAATAATAATGTAAGGGAAAAAATGAAGGAAGATAATACAATTGCTCACCACCTGCTGACTGATACTCAGCCTGACCTGAGCAGTGATCTAGCCCTTCCAGGTAACTGCCCTCAGTTTATATACTGGGCATGATGTGCTGTGGTATGGAATACCTTTTTGGTTAGTGTCAGGTGTCCTGTTTCTGCTTCCTCCCAGTTTCCCCTCCTCCCTGGCAGAGCATGAGACTCAGAAAGTCCTTGGTCAGAGTAAACATTATTTAGCAGCAACTAAAAACATTGGTGTGTTATCAGTGTTGTTCCCAGGCTGAAAGTCAAAAACACAGCACTGCACCAGCTACTAAGAAGGAGAAAAAATGACTGTGGCTGCTGAACCCAGGACAATGCATAATGTTTTATTGTTTGGGGTTTTTTTAAGGTATTATTTTGACTCCAAATGGAAAAAAACAATCTAATACTTCGAATAGAGGAGGACATAGTAAAAATGTGAGTTTGGCTGATGACTGTAACTTGGTATCTACATATAAAAATGGTGAGTATTACCAGAAAATTAATTATGTAATAAGTGTAACTTAAAGATCAGACTTTGCATTTAGGCCAGGGTTTGAGAAATGCACCTGTGCTTGCTACTGGAGACGAAATGGCTAATAATTAAAATAGGTATGTTCTGGCACCTTCAGCCATAGTATTATTGATGTTGGAGTTAGTTCCTATAATTTGCTAGTTGCTAATGCACAAACAATCCTCATGTGTTAATGTCAATGATGAGAAAAAGAGCTAAGGAGATATTACTAATAAAACAACATGTACATATTCAAGTTCATTAGAATAAACTTTAGAATAAATATTTGCCACACTGTATTCAGTTTAGCAGTAGGTTTCAGTTTAATGTAACTAAGAGCTGGCCTTGTTCACAATTTCATAGCTTTACAAAAAAGCCAAGATGTTAACTTGAACAGGCAGAGAGTCAAAGAAATGTGCAACCAGGAATGTCTGTGCTTAAAATCATCTGTATTTAGTGGACAGAGATGAAGTTAGCTATGCACAGCCTAATAAAACACATATTTATAAATGTCCAAAGAAAATCTCTGTGAATTGCATAAATTCTTTTTAAGTCACCTTTAACAGGAGTCCCGTAGCAAAGTGGACTCCATTAGAGATATTCCTCTGTTGATTCTACTCCAGTCATATTGATTTACCCCTGAAATGAATTGTTTTCAACTGATAGTCCTTTCTGAATAATAGATATGGAGGTATGCTTTTTCCTGCATTATAATGCATGGAAATAACGGAAATATGCTAAAGATTTAAACTACGTAGGCATGACAGAAATGAAGGTATGAAAAAAATTGAAATGAAATACTGTATTTCAGTAAGTGGGTGACAGTGGAGAAACCTTGAATAACTATTGTTATCTTGGTGAAGTGATAATTTCTTTATAACTACTTCAGATTGTATTGCCAGTAATAATGTGTTATTTCCAAATGCAAAACAGTATGCAAATTTACGTAATTTTTAATTTTACCAAAATAAATATTCACAGAACAATGAAAAATGTTCCCTGCAGACAAACACAAAAGCTTTAAACAACAGAAGAACCTGAAAAGATTTCACAGCTGAAGAAATAAACTGTCTTTTGAGTGGAGTGAAAAAAATAGGTAACCACTGAAATATAATTTTGTTGTTTTATCCATTTCAGAAAGGACGGACAAACGTTGACCTTTCCAAGAAGTACTACAGGTTACAGTTGCAAGTAGTAATTTTTTTTTTTTCCTACTATCATATATGCATGTTGTCAGTTCTGTTTTCAGCTTTTGCCCCTGAACTGACCGGGGAAAAAAAAGAGAGGCTATCAGAATTTGCAGCCCATGGGATTGTGCTTGGTGTTAGTTCAGTGCATGCGCTTGAGCACTGGAACAGTATCCAATGTAATCCAACTGGGGCTGGTGCTTGGAGAGGGAGAACTGAACTAGGGAAATACTAGAGAGCATTTGAACCCTCCAGTGCCACCTGGCAGGATACAAAGGGTAAGATTTTCAGTTAAGGACTCTAAATTAATCCCTGTGCTTATTAGGAAGTTGATCTCTCTGTTCAGTCCCTTTTCTGAAGATGGTTTGTGAAAATCTCTCTGGCAATTTTCACCATCTTTGACATGCACACTCTGTACAGGGAGATGCTGCATACGGGTTGGGTGGGCACCATTTCTGCTGTGATTCAGATGTGTGGGGCAGTCTTCATTGGGATGCCTGTCCGTACTGCAGTATTTTGTGAAATTGTGCAGTGGTTTGTGCCAACATTTGCACTGACATTTTCACAGAATCACAGAATTCCAGGGTGGTTTGAGTTGGAAGATACCTCAAAGACAATCCAGCTCCAACCCCCTGCCACAGGCAGCAACACTTTCCACTAGAGCAGGTGGCTTCAAGCCCCATCCAACCTGACTTTGAACACTGCCAGGGATGGGGCAGCCACAGCTTCTCTGGGCACCCTGTGCCAGTGCTTCACAGGGAAGAATTTCTTCCTAATACCTACTCTAAATCTCCCCTCTGTCAGTTTAAAGTCGTTCCTCGTCCTATCACTACTTGCTCTTATAAAAATTTTATAAAAAATTTCTTTTATCTCCATTTTATGGAGGCAAGGAAAAAACAAAGATCAGTAACACCTTTCAAGAGTATTTTGGATCTTGTTGCAGAATACTGAAGAACGGCATTTTTAACAGTGATGTACTGTTGCAGCAATACAAACCCTTGGAGAATTTAGATTGGCTTGGACTCCTGTTTTCAGTGATAACATTCATTGACAAAGTTGTTGCACTTTGTAAATTGAAATTATATGTAATTGCCCAAGTTTGTTGTTTTGGTGCTTGTGGGGGGTTGTTTGTTTGTTTTTTTTTTTTTTTAATAGTGTTAAAGTAGCTATCAAAATACCAGTAGAATTTATGAGGTTCTCTGAACCATCTTGAACTTTTTATTTATGTAATATTTGAGCTGCCTTTTTGTTTGAAGCTGTCTATAGTTTGCTTTACACCATTTGTAAGAAAAGGCTCTATTGCTAAAATTAATATTTTATGTTAGAAACAGATGTTAAATGTTTTGTCTTAATTTGTTTCCTTTTAATCAGTGAAATGTTTAAAGTAGGTAAAATATTTTTCGTGGGTTTAATGTGCTGTATGTGCAGAAAAATGTATCTGTGACAGAAAACACCACATGTATGTAGTAGCATGTAGCAGGCATTTTTTTGTGTATTACTCAATTAAATAGGCAGAACTGCCATTTCTGCTAATTGCACAGTTTTCAGAGAAAGCTTTATTGAAACCCTTAAGCACGTGATTTTTCAGAGATAGCCTTAGTATTTCATTTGCATATTTTATCTATTCTGATAAAGGGGTGATTAATGAATAATTAATTTGTTACGGAAGAAGTTTAGTTGCCTTATTAGCACTAGGTTTTTACCTTTCAGGGAGCTATAGAGAAGAGATCAACAAGGCCCCCCCTGAGCTGCCTTCTCTCCAGACTAGACATCCCAGGTCCCTCAGCCGTTCCTCGTCATATTTGAGCTCCAGGAGCTTCACCAGCGGTCATTGCCCTTCTCTGGCCCCAGTCCGGCACCTCTGTCTCTCTCTCATAGTGAGGGGCCTAGTGAACAAGGATGCAAGGTGTGGCCCCTCCAGTGCCCACTACAGGGGGATGATCGCTGCCCTGACCCTCCTGGCTACACTACTGCTGATACAGGCCAGGATGCTGTTGGCCTTCTTGGCTTCCTGGGCACAAGCTGCTGATGTTCAGCTCCATCAGGTCCTTTCCAGTTATTCTTCCCCAAGCCTGGAGTCTTTCTTGGGTTTTTTGTGGCCCAGATGCAGGACCAGGCACTTTGCCTTGTTAAATTTCCACAACCGTTTCCAGTGTTTCAGCTTCTCTCGTCATGCAAGTTGCTGAAAACGGCATCATTAAAAAATTACTGTGTAATCAGAAGGGAAGAGTCCAGGATGAAAGTGAGCAGGAACCTGTTGTGTGCATCGGTGCAAGTCAATCTTTTTCTCTCTTTTTGATTGACTGTGCAATCTCGATACTTATTTTCTTTCATGAAGTGCTTTGGAATCCACACATAACGGGAATCATGAAAATACAACTGTATAAGAATAATTAATACCATTTTTAGTTGGCTTTAGCTACCCAGCACAGCAGGCTGCAAGGAGCGGCGGCGAGCACTCCTCCTCGGCGCCAGGGGGCGCTGCGGGACGTGGTCTCCCTCTCCGCCTTGCTAGCCGTGGAAGGCACCGCCCAGGGCGGGGCGCGCTTCAGGGGCTGGCCGCACTCCGCCTGATCGGAAACCAGCGGGGCCGCGGGGGCGGGGAGTGGCGGAGGGCTCGTGTGGGGCGGCGGCGGGTCCGGCAGCGCGGAGCGCCCCCGCGGGCGGGCGGGACAGGGCGGAGCGGGGTCCTCGTGGGCCCGGGTGAGGTCACTCTTTGTGGCTGCAGTTGGCAAGATGGCGCGGGTGGTGGTGGAGAAGAAGCTGCTGGGGCCGGATGGGCCCGGCGGCGCCGAGCTCCCCAGCGAAGAGGAGGAGGGGCAGAACCTCTGGTGAATGCCCTCGGGGGGAGGTATCCGGGGCCGTCGCCACCGCGACGGTGGAACTGAGCGGCTGCTCGGGCGTCACGGCGGGGTCTCTCTGGGCTGCCTCAGCTATCGCCCTGCCCGACAGGGTAGGGAGTCTGTGGGCGCCGGCTGCGGGCCGCGCTTGGGCCCTGCTGACAGGGGCTGCGCGGCAGCTGCCCACGGCGGAGGCCGGCCCAGGCGCCAGGGCCGGTGAGGAATGTTGCCCTTCCCGGTTGTGGAGGGAACCCCCTCCCGCGGGAATAAGACATCATCGCTGTCAGGGTGGGGAGGGCACGCGTGCGGAGTGCCTGAGGTGTGGGTCTGCGGGATAGGCTCCACAAGACTTGCTCTTTCCTATTCCTGTCGTTTGTCTCTGAGTAACACTTTTGAAAACACTAATAATGACAGAAAAAGCTGTGTGCAAAATACAGTAATGAATTGTGGGAGGAGTTAGTTATCAGTTGGAAAGTAATGTTTTGCAGTGATGTGGCCTTTTACAACCAGAGAAAAACGTTGCTGCATGCATTTTAGAAACGTAAAGCTTTCTTTTAAAAAGGTGGCTTACTTTTGTCTTTTAAAATGAACTTAAATCTCTAACTGTAACATCATTTCCAGTTTGTAAATAGTTTGAATGTAACTGGATTGGTCTGTGTGGATCTGATAAGCTCATTAGTGCTGTCAAATGGGCAATTGTGTGAGTTGTGTTTGGTTTTTCATGTGTATGCTTCAGCCTAGCAACAGTGATGCTGTTTTTCTAGGTCCTCAATACTGAGAGAAGTTTCTACTCGGTCAAGATCTAAGTTGCCATCAGGCAAGAATATTCTCGTTTTTGGTAAGTAACACGTGAGCAGGTTGGGTTTTTTGTTTTTTTTTTGTTTGTTTTTGTTTTGTTTTTGTAGAAATAAAGGTGTTTAAAATAGTGATATGAACAAACTGACATCTCAGTTTGTTAAAATTAGGTTATGCAATACGATCTATGCTATTATTGTCTTCAGACTGATAGAACTACTTTCTTTTTGGTTTGCACTGTGACATTTATAACATTCAGTTTGCATTCCATTTGTTTAAATTTATGTAATAATGGCTTTGAATTGACAGAGGGTAGGTTTAGATTAGCTATTAGGAAGAAGCTCTTCACTGTGAGGATGGTGAGGCACTGGCACATGTTGCCTAGAAAAGCTGTGGCTGCCCTATCCCTGACAGTGTTCAAGGCCAGACTGTTACCCTAAAAG